TCGAAGCCAGCAGTTAATATTTTGTTAGAAAGTTTCACAATTAAATCAAATATCCAATGATACCAGTATATTTATTTCATTATTTTAACAACTTGTAATGGTGGAAGTTGGTCAAACACGAGTTCTTACACCTAAATAAGTATCAAATATTTGTCGACACATTTATTCTCTCAACCTTGTAGAGGTGGAAATTAATTAAACAACAGGTATTTACTCACAAATATAATGGTCAATATTTGTCCATACATTCATTCTGTCAATTTAAGAACTTGTAATTGTTGGAATTAATCAAATGAGAGTTGTCTACACCAAAATAAGTTTCAAATACTTGTCCATACATTTATTCTCTCAATTTAACAACTTGTAATGGTGTAAAATTATTAAATGAGAGTTGTCTACACCAAAATCAGTCTAAAATATTTGTCCACACATTTATTCTCTCAATTTAACAATTTGTAATTTGTGGAAGTAAATTAAATGCGACTTTTCTACACCAAAATAAGTCTAAAATATTTGTCCACACATTTAGTCTCTCAATTTAACAACTTGTAATTGTGGGAATTAATCAAATGCGAGTTGTTTACATCAAACTAAGTATTAAATATTTGTTGAGACATTTATTCTTTCAATTTAACAACTTGTAATGGTGTAAAATAATTAAACGAGAGTTGTCTACACCAAAATTAATCCCAAATATTTGTCCACACATTTATTGTCACAATTTAACCACTTGTTATTAATAGTGGAAATTACTTAAACGCGACTTGTTTAATCAGTTGACATCAATGCAACTTACCCGCAGACAGTGCACAACAGAGTATCATTATTGAGCAATTATAAACAGGAACGTGTCTTGGCATTAGGGTTAGAGTCGGGTCAGGTATGGGCAACGGAATTATTAACAGGAACGTGTCTTGGCATTAGGGTTAGGGTCGGGTCAGGTATGGGCAACGCAAATGGCAAACACCCAATTGGCAAGATGTACACTAACGGGTTATGGCATGCATATAGTTTACACAAGTAAAAACACAAAATTGGCAATTTTTTGGACAATTGTAACTCAATAATAGAAATATGTTGTATTTCTATATATATACACACTATATAGTCTTATCAAATGCAAAAACATCCAGTCAATCCATTGTGGTCTTGTGGGTCAGTTCTCTACATAGTGATCAGGAGGACCTGGGTTCAATTCCCTTGCCTGCCCATCTTTTTCTCGCAAACACCA